ATAGTGCAAAATAATTACAATTAGAATTAACAGGAGAGTGTGTGTGTGTGTAAGATTGAACAATGGAAGCATGGCCCTGATCGCAGCAGGAAACACTTCCAGGTCAGAGTTCATCAAACACCTGAAGAGATACAACAAGTGTAAACAATCAGGTGAGGTCACCAGGGCAGACCTTCCTTCCTCACACACACACGCACGCATACACACACGCACGCACACACACACACACACACACATAAACACATGTAAACAGTAAACACACATGTAAACACAAACACAAACACACACACACACAGAGAGAGAGAGAGAGAGAGAGAGGAAATCCCGCTGTCACTAATGGAGTTAGCTTCCCTGCGAGCTTAAGCGGAATTAGCATACTGTCAAGTCAAATTAATCACTGATTGTCAAATTTCCCTAAAACACTTTTCAGGCTAATACAGATTAGTCCATTTAAGAGCCCAGCAGCCCGCCTGTCCTGTTTTCCATCCAACGCAATCTAATCTAAGCCTGTTTGTTAACCTACATTCTAAATATACAGTTGGCTGTATACAGGGTGATGCTACTCTGTGACTGGGCAGGCAGGGATCACTCACGGTGTGTGGGAGTCTACTGTACCTGAGAGGATATCTTTTATTTTATCTGACTTCTATTGAACGATTTCTGGGAAACAGAGTCTGAAAAACAACTAATGAAAAACACATTTACATCCTACAAAGCTGATGGGGAGTCAGAATACATAAGCCAAACAATGTGAGTTGTGGTAGGAAATGTGCCACTATCATGTATACACACCTGTACTCCATGTACTCCCTGTATACTTCATAGACAAAAGATAGGTGTTGTCATTCATATGTACTACATTCATGTTTCCGCTGGCTTAACTGGTTTAAACTTTTGTCCAGGACCAGATGTAACCTTGGTGACCAGAGTCATATAATGGTGTCATTGCTGTTTAGGGAATAGTGTTGTTGGGGACATGTATTCACCCTGTGCACCATCATTGCCCCCTAGTGGTTGTAGTTAGAAACGACTGAGACGATGGTCTTGTTTCCTCAGCCCTTCCTTCCTCTATTCCTCACCTCCCTCTCAAAACTTATTGGAGGTCCTAGAGAGGGGTGTTGGATCCTCCTTGTGTACAACTGGACAATAAAGTAATCTCCTCCTCCCCCCCAGTTCAGTATCTCCTTTGTGGAGACACACACGGTGCGGGCTGTGAGGCTTCGCCCCCGCTCTCAGTGCAGCTGGTCTGACGATGTCTGCGAGGACAACGGAGAGTGTGAATCTAAGAACACACCCATAATCTCCTCCGAGGATACAGCTCTTGGTCTTGACCTAGCCCAAAGCACCACAGCACCTACACTGATAAACCTCATACGTTAGGGGCTGGATTCAATCCGTATTGCTGAAGTTCAGCGCTATAGCACGATTGCAATTTCAAGGCAATGTTCCCGGAGACTGCATTGACGGTAAACGCTGCATATGTCGGCTCAATCGGAAATTACCTTTAAAGTTCAGTTGCGCTATAGCACTGAACTTCACCGATACGGATTGAATCCAGCCCTAGGCGTTGTATTCATAAAGCGTCTCAGAGTAGAAGTGCCGATCCTAAAAGTGATCCTAGATCAGCAGTCCAACTCTACGACGCTGTGTGAACATTGGCCGATATAGTTGGTACAACTCTATCCTTTAGCTGGTCTAAAGCCCCATAGCACCTGCACTGTCAGATAGACCTTCAACCTGGATACAACCCCTGTCTCAAATAACATGTTACCAAGGCAATGACCTACTGCTGCTCACTAAGTATAGCCCTACCTGTAATCGCATGGCCATATTACTCTGGGTTTCATTTACACCCCAAAAGAGAGTTCTTAGAGGTCATGTTCAGTATAATTTGACCATCTTTTCGATCATGTATTTAATTCAAACCCGGTATCCAAGAACTGCTTCACTGAAGTAGAGGGAAGTTAGCAGTACTGTTAATTTGTCTGTCAAATACGGGACATTTGAAACCTCTTGTTTTTTGTTTCACCACCAGGGTACATCCCCAACTCCTGACACTGTTTGGAGTGGACATCGAGGAGGCAGAGGAGGCACACATCAAGTGCAGCTGCATTTAACACTGTCTGTAGACAGGAAGTGATACCATTTAAAACTGTCTGTAGAGAGGAAGTGATACCATTTAAAACTGTCTGTAGAGAGGAAGTGATACCATTTAACACTGTCTGTAGAGAGGAAGTGATACCATTTAAAACTGTCTGTAGAGAGGAAGTGATACCATTTAACACTGTCTGTAGAGAGGAAGTGATACCATTTAAAACTGTCTGTAGAGAGGAAGTGATACCATTTAACACTGTCTGTAGAGAGGAAGTGATACCATTTAAAACTGTCTGTAGAGAGGAAGTGATACCATTTAACACTGTCTATAGAGAGGAAGTGATACCATTTAACACTGTCTGTAGAGAGGAAGTGATACCATTTAACACTGTCTGTAGAGAGGAAGTGATACCATTTAACACTGTCTGTAGAGAGGAAGTGATACCATTTAACACTGTCTGTAGAGAGGAAGTGATACCATTTAAAACTGTCTAAAGGTGGATGAGTCTTTACACTGAATGTAACAAACAGGCTTTCCTACTGTACTCTATAAGAAACTGTCTTCAGTTTATAGACTGTCTACAGTTAAAACTGTCTACAAGAAAGGAGTCTATAGACACAACCTAAAACTGTCTCTATGTAGGGTTTGTCTATTCTACACAACCTCAGGTTGCACAGCCACTGAATGTTACCGACAGGCATGACTACTGTACGACACTGTGAATGTTAGACATCACATTACCAAATGGAGGACAGACAGACACATTAAATAGAAAAAGTTCATTTATATAAAAGCAAAGACAACATAATAACACATTCCAGTGCACAATTACATACATTATCAGACCAAAGCAAAATGTGTTGACAAACAAAATGTTGTCTGTCCATTTTTACACACCACACACTTATTTATTAAAATTAAAATGTTATTTTATTGAAAAAAAAATGTGAATGTGCCCCATTTATTTTTGTCATAATTGACAACTTGGTCAGGAAAGGTTGACTCCCTCAATTAACTGCCCTGAACCTTAAAATGCAAGCAGTAAAAACACGTGTTACTCTTCCTCATACAACAACAAAACATAATCATCATCAAGGCATACCACATCTCCTAAACCTGAATGTTCCAATCCCTTACAGCTACAGTAAGAACACAATCCACTGATTCCAAAGATTCCAACAGGGAATCCAAAGGGATGAAAATGTTCCAATGGAAAGGCCAGTTCCGTGTGTCGCATTTAAGGCCTGGCATGTCTGCTATGCTTTGAGGAACATTTCTGAGTCATTTCTGAAGAACAAGCTCTTACATTTTTTCTTTCTGACTGCGTTAGAAACTTCTGCTGGCATGGTGTACGAGCAACGAGCTCTCACAGTCTCACTACAGAATCAGATGTTCATCCACATTCTCCAAACGTCAAACTTCGAAGTTGAGGGTCCGAATGGTTAAGGTAATGGTTAAGGTTTGGGATAGGGTTAAAACATTAAGGCATTTCCCGACGATTACTTGATGGTAATGGCGCTCACTGTTGCCTCTAGTGGCTGGTTTTGAAGGCATTTCATGACGTCCTCAGGGCATAGATGTCCAATTTTGACGTCAATCTTGAACGACCTGACTGGTACGAGTTGATGACACACACACACACACACACACACAAACACAAACAGGGTGCTGTCCCCTTGAGGAGTGGCATGTGTCATTCAGTGAGTTAGTCAGTGAGTTGAGTGACACCCAACAGCTCCTTTTTTCACTGATAACCCTACACAGTCCTCCTCATCCTTCTGTTGGCTTCAGTTCTATACTACATAAATAATCTTAAACCTTCTGTCCCATCACTTCTATATATATACACACCTATTGATGATATAGATTTGACATATAGATGTGTAAATATCGATATACACTCACCGGCCAGTTTATTAGTTACACCCATCTAGTACCGGGTCGGACCCCCTTTGCCTTCAGAACAGCCTGAAATGTTTGGGGCATGGAAACATTGCTCAATTGGTATCAAGGGACCTAACGTGTGCCAGGAAAACATTTCCCACACCATTACACCACCGCCACCAGCCTGTACCGTTGACACCAGGCATGATGGGGCCATGGACTCGTGCTGCTTACACCAAATCCTGACTCTGCCATCAGCATGATGCAACAGGAACCAGGATTCGTCGGACCAGGCAATGTTTTTCCACTCCTCAATTGTCCAGTGTTGGTGATCACGTGCCCACTGGAGCCGCTTCTTCTTGTTTTTAGCTGATAGGAGTGGAACCCGGTGTGGTCGTCTGCTGCAATAGCCCATCCGTGACAAGGACCGATGAGTTGTGCGTTCCGAGATGCCGTTCTGCATACCATTGTCGTACTGCGCCGTTATTTGCCTGTTTGTTGCCCGCCTCTTAGCTAGCACGATTCTTGCCATTCTCCTTCGACCTCTCATCAATTAGCTGTTTTCGCCCACAGGACTGTTGCTGACTGGATGTTTTTTGTTTGTGGCACGATTCTCGGTAAACCCTCGACACTGTCGCGCGTGAAAAGCCCAGGAGGCCGGACGTTTTTGAGATACTGGAACCGGCGCGCCTGGCACCGATGATCATACCACGCACAAAGTCACTTAGGTCACTCGTTTGCCCATTCTAACGTTCAATCGAATATTAACTGAATGCCTCAATGCCTTTCTGCCTGCTTTATATAGCAAGCCACGGCCACGTGACTCACTGTCTGTAGGAGTGAACCATTTTTGTGAACGGGGTGGTATACCTAATAAACTGGCCACTGAGTGTATACAGATGAAGTTTCTATGCATAAAGAAACGCTTCAGCAGTGCATTCATAAATGTTTTGTACTGCGACTGAATCCAAGTAGTCAGGTCTGTGAGACATGGGTCGTGTTCATTAGGGCACACAGTAGCAAAATGTTTTGCAACGGAAAATGAGCGGGCCTCAATTAATGGACAGGTACAGATAGTACCTCCTTGTTTCGGTTTGTGCCTATTGAACAAGACCATGGAATGTTCCGTCTTCATGTCCTGAGATCTTGGTAGGAAATGAAAACAGGTTCTAATGTACACATTCCATGTTCTAATGTACACATTCCATGTTCTAATGTACACATTCTGTGTTCTAATGTACATAACATGTTCTAACGTACATTCCATGTAAACACTCCAATGTTTTATAGTCTCACTCCACCAAGCCCAGAGGTAAAGTGTAATATATTTGTCCCGCTGACAACACATTTTAAACTTACACATGGTCAGCCTTTTCCTCATGTTTTAGGGAAATTACGTTCTTTCTTTCCTTGTCAAGAGCCACCACAATTTCAATGGTCCATCAGTTCTTTCCCTTGGGTTTGGATGATTTCAGTCAAAATGTGCCTCTTAGTAAAATGCTGTTCCACAGCAGTTAGTCCATGTTGTAGTATAGCACCATTCTGTATTAGGACACAGTCACTCTCAGTCTTGGTCTCACTCTTAGGATCTACTCTCAGTCTTAGTCAAATTTTTGGGTACATAGTCCCAGCTATCCTTACTGATCTCATCCTCCTTCTTGAACTGCCTTTTGAAGAAACCAGCCTGAGAAGGAAGGAGAACAGGGTTCAGTTTCAGATTACAGTATTTACATTGATATACAGCTACCATCTATAAATCTAGTACTTCAAATTATGTATTTGAAGAAAAGGAAGAAGGAGGAGAAGAAGACTGTGATTGGTTTCCATGTCATGACTTCCTCCGAAGCTGCCTCCTCTCCTTGTTCGGGCAGGCTTCGGCGTTCGTCGTCACTGGCCTTCTAGCCACTGCCACTCCATATCTCATCATTCCATTTGTTTTGTCTTGTCTATTACACACACCTGGTTTGTATCCCCTCATTAGTATAAGTGTTCCCTCTGCCCCCCTTGTCCTTGTAGGTGATTGTTGAATGTGAGGAGAGAGTAGCTTGGTTGAGCTCTGTGTATTTTGTATTGCCGGGGATATTTTCACCGTGTGCCTGTTTTGTTCCAGTGCGCCTGTTTTGTGCACTGGATTGTTTGACGCTATCCAGCGTAACTTGGTACTACGGAATAAACTCTGTATTCTGTGATTTACCCTTCTGCGCCTGACTCCTTCGAATCACCTCTCAGATTCACTTTGTAGTGTGTTTGCATCCTGTCTTGTGTATGATATAAGGGAGTAGTACTGACCTCCCAGAGGGCGAAGATGAGCAGGGTCAGGATCAGGAGTCCCACCAGTAGACTCACTACAATGATAAACACCTCCACTGCTGCCTGAGGCTTCTGGCTGAAGTGGGCCTCCAACACAACCTGAGACACAGAATTAAATAAAACTATATTATAGAACTGATATAATATCTCTATGACCTGACACAGCATAGCAGGTATTTTACATAGGGCTGTCATTACCGGCACTGTCCTATGGATACCAGAGTTTATACAGTTTGAAACTCAACAGAGGTACTGGAGGTTACAGAGCTTTCCTGACACCTCCTCACTCTACCAGGACATGGACTTGAGTGACCTCAATTGTGGAAAAGGGACATAGTATATAAATCGTAATGAGTGTATTCTCCATAAGACTACTGTATAAGATTCACTTTTACTTACCTGAGCGATAGGGATCTGCTGTAGGAGGATGGTTTGAGGGTCCTCCCTTGGTGATGTGATGATGCCAGTACTCTCCATCAGCATCACTCCATGACGACCCTGAGAAGAGAGGGGAGGGAAATCAACTTGAGTAGACAATAGAAATAGAATGACAAGAAAGGGGGGGGGGGGGGGGGGGGGGGGACACTCAGACCATCCCGTACACACACAGGTACATTTATGAGATTTACAAGTGTACGTGTAGCAGAAGTGAAGTGTTTACAGGTGAGAGCTGTAGAACGGTAGGGTTCAGCTTCACTTCCATGTGAATGGAGGCTTCTTTCCCGATATCCATGTCTCCTAGTCTACACTCGAGAGTCAGGCACAGGCCGTCACCATGGGCACAGAACTGGAGAGAAAGGTTCAAATTCAAGGTTATATTTTATTTTATGTGTAATGGATACATTGGAAATCTTCCTCATCTAAGCTCTCACAATAAAAAAGGACAGGAAATATACAAACATACAACAATCAGCAATTCAATGGTAATGCTGAAATAAGGACAAAGGACACTCAATTGGAATGCCACTTCCTCAACAAAATGAGTGGTATAGATAACTATATATCAGATGGGAGGAGTATGTAGGGGGTGGTATTTACCATTTTGCGTTTGCTGGTTTTGGAGAAGAAGAAGACCAGTTCTTTGATGAAAGAGGACTGTGGCACCTCACAGTCATCCTCCACTGCAATGGAGCCGTTTTTAATGGAGCATTCTCCAAGAGACGTCTGACAGATGGAAAATAAAGTTAAACATTAATTAATGTATGCTTATATCACAATGCAAACATGCTCATACTGTATTAAGTAGAATAGAAAAGTTGAATAACAGAAAAATATAATAATATAACTATAATCTAGTTAAACGTTTATAAATAGACATCCATGTGACAAGTTATGAATATTCCCAAACATACCTGGAAGTCTGTGATGTGGAGTAATCTGTATGGATATGGCGATAGGATCTTGGGAATATCAATCTCCACTATCGTGTTGAGAGATTTGCTTGGACCAATATTGACAACCTGTCAAGTGGAGGAAAGTACACAGGTATTAGGTCAGTATAAACTCATTAATTCATTCAAAATCTCCAACTAAGCTCTAGTGAGTCTATCAGTCTCTCATAAGTGTGTACTGTACATACCTTGTAAGTGTAATTGAATGCCTCTGTGTAGCAATCAACTGGAATAGGCTCCTGGTCACCAAATACAAAGGATGTTGGAGTCATAAACCTGCAAAGGAGAGCAGTGATTATCTTATGAATTACAATAATATGTGTTTTTATATACTGCCAATGAAGAGCAAGGAACTGTCTTTGTTACTGTAAAATCAGGGGTCGACAACAGGCGGCCCGCGAGCCAAAACCGTCCCTCGGGTGGTCTGTTTTGGTCCCCCAAAGTTTTTAGTAAAAATAGTTTTTGGTCAAAAAGACTGTAAAATCCCCAGGAATTCAGCAAAAAAATAAATAATTTAGGAAATCTGTTCCTAAGTATTCCCATGAATTTAAAAAAGATATTTGATCGTGTATCAATGCAATGAAGTAATGAAATGATTGTTATTTTCAAATACAATCTCTTTTTGGGCTTAGTTGTGGTCAGGTGTACAAACCACCCCAACAAAAATCAGCCCGCGGCTGAATCTAGTTGCCTACCCCTGCTGTAAATCAATGTCTTACCCATGGATGTTGACATCTACTCCATATCTCAGTGGTAACATCAAAGTGGCAGAGTTGTCGTGCAGAAGATCCTCGTTTTCATAATTGTCCCTGGAAAAGACACAATGTAAGATAAAATAATAAATTATCTATTTTGATTACATTGTATAGTGATGCAGGCCTAATAACATAGCTCATGCCATTATACTGGTAAAGGACTCAAAGCAAAATAATGTAGATTACATCTCACATTCCAGTGTTCGAACTTGCAAACAAGGCTGCATGGGATTTCTCTTAATGTGACTCCGTGCAGCCAAGGGCAATGTCCGCTTTAGGTATAATGCTGGGAGGTGCTTGTGGATTTGACAGCTCTAATGCAGTTTCACCTCCGACAAGTCAAAACATCACCTATGTGAATCTGATTGAATTGGGCCCTTAAAGAGGAGTTTATAACATTAACTACCTTTGATCCAATTCAAATGCTGTTCAAAATATGTTTGAAGGAAGTCAGGTCTTAGTAACTTCATATTTATCGTCTTTGAACAAAACTCCAGTTAAGTTCAAACATGGAATGTTCTAGAGCAGGGGTGTCAAACGTCCGGCCCACGGGCCGGATCAGGCCCGCAAACGGGTTTAATCCGGCCCGCGAGATGATACAAAAAAAAAAAAAAAAAAAAAAACATTAATAATAATTTTGTCAAGTATAAAAATGCGCTGCAATTTTTCAATAAAATAAACTGCTGTTCCAATTGCGTCCACTGGATGGCGCAATAGCAATTGTGTTAAGCAAGCAAACTGTTTATACCGGGGCAGAGCAAGTAGGTCAAGCACGTGCAGCCAATGAGCTACTTTGTTTTGCCCGCGATATTTATTACGGCTTCTACTTTTAACATTATGTGCTTTGGCACCCTCATTGCCCCAATATGTCTCTGTCAAAAAAGAGAAAAGTGGACGCAGAGTGCAGAGTGTTCCAAGAAAAATTGTCATCCTTCTATTTATTCACGGAATTGAATGGGAAAGCTGTATGTTTGGTGTGTTCAGAGCATGTTGCAGTGCTGAAAGAATATAACCTTCGTCGCCACTATGTGAGTCTTTATGCCGACAAATATGACAACTTTCAAGGACAGCGGAGATGAGAGAAGGTGAATGAACTGTTGGCGGGTCTGAAGAAACAGCAGTCTGTGTTTACTCACAGCCGAGACATCAGTGACGCTGCAGTGAAAGCTAGCTACCTCATTGCTAATGAAATCGCAGTGGCTTCAAAACCATTTAGTGAGGGTGAATTTGTAAAAACATGCATGATGAAGGCAGCGGAGATTGTGTGCCCTGAAAAGCGGCAGGCTTTTGCAAATATCAGCCTGACAAGAAACACAGTTGCAGACAGGATTTCCGATCTTTCAGTGGATTTGGACAGCCAGTTGAAGCAAAAAGTAAAGTCATTTATTGCGTTTTCGGTTGCAATTGATGAAAGCACGGACATTACAGATGTTGCACAACTGGCCATTTTCATCCGCGGAGTTGATGACACATTGACCGTCACCGAGGAGTTCGTGGAGTTGGTGCCGATGACAGATACAACGACAGCAGCTGATATTTTTACCGCACTCGTCGGCGCGCTGGACAGGGTCGGAGTGGACTGGTCCCACGCTGTCAGCCTGGCTACAGATGGTGCGCCCTCAATGATCGGGAAAAAAGCAGGCGTTGTGACAAAGTTCAGAGAGAAAGTGCAATCTGCAAATGGAGGACGTGATTTTTTGACTTTTCACTGTATTTTGCACCAGGAGGCTTTGTGTTGCAAGTCATTAAAGATGGATAACGTCATGAAGGTGGTCATCCAAACTGTTAATTTCATCCGATCCAGAAGCCTGAATCACCGTCAGTTTGACAGCCTTCTCAGAGAGAAAGACCACATCTATGGCCTGCCATACCACACTGAGGTAAGATGGTTAAGCCGAGGTGCTGTGCTGAGGCGTTTCTTTGATTTACGAGAAGAAATTGAACAGTTCATGGAAGAAAAGGGCAAACCAGTGTTAGAATTTCATTCCGCAGAATGGATGCAGGACCTTGCATTTATGGTGGATGTTACAGAGCACCTGAATAACTTGAACAAACAGCTGCAAGGGCGCAACAAAGTTGTCACGCAGTATTATGACAGCATACGTTCTTTTAAGTTGAAGCTGTCATTGTGGGAGACGCAACTTGCCGGTGGTGATGCAGCTCACTTCCCCTGTCTGAAAAATGTGTGCGCGACCCAACATGTGGCAGACATGAAGCCGTTCAAAGATAAAATAACGGGACTGTTACGGGAGTTTGAGCAACGCTTTCAGATTTATGTTTATATGTTTTTATGTTGATGTGCTATTGTTTTTAATTGATTTTTATTATTTGTATATTTAACCTATTCTTGACTCTGTGGTTCTTGCACTTGTTTGGGGAACAGGATTACATTATTTGTATCTACATTTCTGCCTGAGAAATGACACCCTGATATAGTTCCGTGATCTGTGATATACTTCTGTGAATCACTGAGGCATTGTGTGTTTGTGTGTTCTTTGTCCTCAGAACTTTCAAATAACTTGAGGTGTTTTATGATTAATAGTCATGTTGTGCTTTTGGACACTGTCCTCAGGCTCCAGCTTTATGTTTATATGTTTTTATGTTGATGTGCTATTGTTTTTAATTGATTTTATTTTATTTGTATATTTAACCTATTCTTGACTCTGTGGTTCTTGCACTTGTTTGGGGAACAGGATTTCATTATTTGTATCTACATTTCTGCCTGAGAAATGACACCCTGATATAGTTCTGTGATCTGTGAAACAGTTCTGTTAATCACTGAGGCAGTGTGTGTTTGTGTGTTCTTTTTCTTTAGAATTTTCAAATAAACTTGACGTGTTTTATGATTAATAGTGATGTTGTGCTTGTACTATTTTGGACACACTGTCCTCAGGCTCCAGCTTTATGTTGTATGTTGATCGTATTAAAACAAAGAAAACAATCTGAAGTTGTTGTTTTTAAGTTATATATACCATGATTTTTCCGGTCCGGCCCACTTGGGAATAGATTTTCCTCCATGTGGCCCCTGAGCTAAAATGAGTTTGACACCCCTGTTCTAGAGTGTTCTGGAACGGCCAAACATTCCAAAGCCATTATTTACCCAAATGACAAAACACAGAATGCCAGAAGTATTTCTTAACCACACAATCTAACAACTACGGGACAGAACCCAAAAGAGGGAACCTGCAGCACCCTCTGACTTGAAGGGTTCAGCTAACTCAGACTTTGTGTTTCCTGTTCCCCTAACAACAGAACAAACACATAAACTAACTACATCATATCTCACTGTGTCTCACTGGGCTGTTTTACAATTCTCTGTTTGCCTGTTTGGTTTAATAAGGCTGGCCAGTAGCAAGACGTCACCGACATTGTAACAAGACGTCAGTTTCAAAAACATGCCATTAGATTCACAGGAGGCTGCTGAGGGGAGGACAGCTCATAATAATGGCTGGAATGGAGTAAATGGAATGGTATCAAACACATGGAAACCATGGAAACCATGTGTTTGATGAGTTCAATACCATTCTATTTAATTCAGTTCCAGACATTTCTAGGAGCCTGTCCTCCCCAATTAAGGTGCCACCGGCCTCCTGTGATTTGATTATTTCATGTATTTCGGAGAGAGAATGTGTTCGGGGATTAGGAGATCTGCTCTTAGGTCAGAAGTAGTGTAAGCACATCCAGTTACTTGCAAAAGTCATGAAAGAAAGATACTGACAAAGACCTTTGGGTCGAAACATTGCGCTCAATAACACTGCAGGATCATTCAACAAAGGTGGGTCTGTACTTACCCACTAGCGTTGATGACGATGCTAACGTCACCAACACTACTACTCTGGTTCACATCCAACAGAAAACTGATATTGACCTGCAGAAAAGACGGAAAGTCTCATTAGCTACCAAGCAAGACAACAGCAGAAGCTGTGGAAAATAAGACACCACCTTGAAAACAGCAGGAACATTGGCACCTAACTAAATAAATTGGTCTGAGTAATTAGTTCAAATTAGTCATCAGCTGATGGTGTTTCCAACAAGCAGTGAGAATACTCAGATCCAGTTTAATGGAGTAACAGTGGAGTAAGGTTGGAGTATAACACTGGAGTAGTGTTAGAGTAATGTAAGAGTAACATTGGAGTAAGGTTGGAGTACGATTGAGTGTGAAACCCACCTTGGCCCCAGAGCTGAGGTACAGGTTTCCCACACTGCAATCCACTCCTACTATTGTCTTGTTCTCCTCTGAAATGTCACAGCTCACAAACTTCTCCTCCTGAAAACAATAACAGATAGATCATGGGCTTGTGTGAGTTACTTATTGCAATCCAAGAGGGCACAGATTCTTCTGCTTTTTCACAGCATTGTGTGTGTTTTTCTTGAACTGTCAGTGCAACAACGTCTAAATTACATTGGTGATCATATGAGAACTTGAATAACTTTGGGTAATCATCACATAAATAAATACATCAATCAAACACTTACTGTGTCAAGCACTTTGATGTAGTGCAGGTTACTGGGGAATCGGAGCTGGAGTCTGGGGAGGAATGCATCATCTCCAGTGTTCACCAGGGCTGTGTTCAACATGATGGTCTTCCCATTGCCAAGTGCAAAGTACGGCATGTTGTTGTGTCTCCTGCAATAACAACAGTCTTATTATAAACTGGGTGGTTTGAGCCCTGAATGCTGATCGGCTGAAAGCTGTGGTATATCAGACCGTAGAAAATACATTTGTATGGTTCTAATTACGTTGGTAACCAGTTTACAATAGCAATAAGGCACCTTGGGGGATTGTGGTATATGGCCAATATACCACGGCTAATGGCTGTATCCAGGCACTCCGCATTGCGTCGTGTGTAAGAACAGCCCTTAGCCGTGGTATATTGGCCATATACCATACCTCCTCTGGCCTTATTGCTTAATTATAAAACTGAAAGGCTCTCTCCTTATACCTGTGACTAGCCCACATCTGTGCTAAAACCATAATTAATCATACCCTCTTGTGCTGGCAATTGCCTTACTTCAATTGACTTCAGTCATACAACAAAACACCTTATTTCATACTTCACTAGATTTGAGTCGTATAACTTTCCAAAAAGTGCCAGCCTCATGATTTCAGAGGAGACCAGCAGACTAAACAGTGACAGTTTTAGAAACAACAGAGAGAATAATAATAATAATAATATGCCATTTAGCAGACGCTTTTATCCAAAGCGACTTACAGTCATGCGTGCATACATTTTTGTGTATGGGTGGTCCCAGGGATCGAACCCACTACCTTGGCGTTACAAGCGCCGTGCTCTACCAGCTGAGCTACAGAGGACCACAGAGAACCAACATGTCCCAAATGGCACCCTATTCCCTATATCTCTATGGGCCCTGGTCAAAAGTAGTGCACTACATAGGGAATAGGGTGCCATCTGGGACGTGCTGGTTTCCTGGCTTTACAGCAGGAAATTAGTAACCACAACTTAGGGAGGGGAACTGAACTGAGCTGGCACTGAGACTAGGGCAGCATCCTAAATGGCACCATATTCCCTACATAGTGCATTACTTTTGACCAGGGCCTATAGTGGGTGGTGGGGTGTGTGTGTGTTTCCTTGACACCACCAACACTGAGGGGCTCACAAGTCTGCACGAAAGAACGCAAGCACACGCACTCACACACACACAAACACACACACACACACACACACACACACACACACACACACACACACACACACACACACACACACACACACACACACACACACACACGCCTCATGAATAATCAGATCATGTATTATTATCTGGGAGGTACAGGCTAAAATAGCCTGGCGGTTAAGCGTTTAAGGGGAAGTGTGACCATATTGTTGTAATGGAGGCTCTACTGACAACACCTGATCTAGGTCCTATGAAGGTTGTTTTCCCTCCAGAAATACTGTTTGTTTCAAGAGCTCAGCTTTGTCCACAGCAGAGATGAGAAATAGAAAGTCAAAGCTTCAAGACAAAAGGTTGTGAGAAAAAGAAAACACCTGAACATATTGTAATTGAACATGATGAAATGCTACAGTACTTACTGTGGTAACACCAGTTGAGCAGAGACCTGCAGATTGGTTGAGCAGTTGGCCAATGAACAGTACCGAGCAAACATTGTCTGTAGAGAAGAAAGGTCCAAACAAAGTGTAAGATGATGGGGCCTTCCGTACAGTTATGAATCCTCTACCATAACATGCATCAATATGAGTGGAGAACTGTAGCGCAGATTAAGCCTAGTACCTGGGCAAAAGAGCACTTTCAATGTAGATTCTCCATAGAGCATGATTCTTAAAGCTAGAATCCTTTAATTGAAACAATAACAAAGCGATCACCCCAGCTCCGTTTCGTTGAAAAGCTGAGAGATAGGAAAAATGCAACCACTCTCAAATTCATAGACAGAGCTATGGATACAAGGACTGACCATCCATGACATCAAAATGATAGTTTTTCCATTGGCTGCATGGATTCGCATTAAGAGAAATCCCATGCAGCCTTGTTTACAAATTGGAACACTGGAATGTGAGATAATCTACACCTCGATAAGGATGATATAAATCCTCATTATTTATTTTGTTTAATGATTTTCAATTTGAGCGTCATTATTTCTGTATAGCCTACACTTTCTCATTCTGAACTTCTAACGCGAGTGAGATGGGTGTGGCTTCGTGACAATGATCTGCATCTGCTCACCGATTTGACCGCTCCAACTCAGTTACACCTCCGACACCGCCAAAACATCAGCTACGCGGGTGTCCGCAGGTAGCTTAGTGGTTAAGAGCGTTGTGCCAGTAACCGAAAGGTCGCTGGTTCTAATCCCTGAGCCGACTAGGTGAAACATCTGTCGATGTGCCCTTGAGCAAGGCACTTAACCCTAATTGCTCCTGTAAGTCGCTCTGGATAAGAGCGTCTGCTAAATGACTAAAATGTAAAATGTGTCCGCTATCGCCGGTTAATGCTTGATCTGATTGAATCTAGGCCTTAATCTGTGTCTGGAAAACTGGGCCTATGAGACTCACCTTATTGGCCACCAGGTTACCGTGTTCCCCTCTCTGCTGCAGTATGGGTTTTAGAGCAGGAAAAGTGGATCCCCCGTTATGGACAGTGTGCTCTCTGAGGGCGTACGTCACCTCAAAACGGATGGGCGTGAAGATATCTTGGACATCTTTCTACAAGAGGTAAAGAGAAAGAGAAAATGAAAGGATTAATTTACATACAACCTTGAGAAGAGGGGAGCTTCTTGCTTGACTGTGCTAATTTATGTTCTGGGGTAGGTTGTTGTGGGGGCCTGCCTGTGCTCTGGCATAATGTTACAGTGTCCTGTGCTGTCTGTCCCACTAAAAGAGTTGGCTTGTGGCCACTGCAGATGTCCCGAAGAGCCTCTCCTCCAGCTCAGACGCCTGCCTTTAGCTTAAGGATGGACAGCAAACTACAGTCATCTCCTAATTCTGACATACAGTTTTTATTGAAGACAAAGATGTATATTTTAGCTGTTGCTAAATTGTTGCTAAAGGTGTTCTGACTAAGTCATAATGTTATGATACCAAAAAAGGACTGTTATACATTTCTATGGCTTAATGATTGAATACATAACATTGTGAAGAATGGTATCTATAGAACGAGACCATGATTCCTATGTCCCACCCTTTCTCCTTTTATCAGTGAGCACGTATAGCAGCTATAAACTAGCGGTTCATTAGCTATGCATGCAAAGCTTTCTATGAGGTTTGGTTTGGTCACAACCGAGTAACAGCATGTTGTGTTCTCTCTCTGTACACATGGAAAACACACTCCCCAGAGGCCATTCATTAACATAAACAACATTACAATTACACACTGACTCATGTCTGTACTGTATGTGGGTGGCGGAATATACCTACACAACAGCTAAACTCTAAAATGGACGACCAAAAGACAAGGCAAAAGCCCCTGAGCCACTATTAGCCCCAGTATATCCCATGTCACATCAGTCAGTCACATTCCCCTACCAGTCCTCTGTACTGCTGTACTGTTACGTCTGTTTATAACATTCATTACTGCCATTGCCCATTAATTACACTTAAAAAATACACAGACACACACACACACACACACCCTCATTGGGATTTCCTCTGACAGATGATGATGCTGGTTTATGGTCTCCAATAACTCCATCTCTAGCTATTAATAAGAACAGCCCAGTATGGCCCAGCACAAAGAGAGACATCCATTAATTAGTGCATGGGTTAAAACATGAGCTAGCTTAGATGGCCCTGATTAGAATGAGGGAAAGAGAGAGAGAGAGAGAGAGAGAGAGAGAGAGAGAGAGAGAGAGAGAGAGAGAGAGAGAGAGAGAGAGAGAGATAGAAAGAGAGAGAGAGATAGATAGAAAGAGAGAGAGCGAGAGAGAGTCCAGAGGGGCTCCCCTCCACCCCCCTCCTTTCCTCCCAGTACCCCTTTATTATTATCCAGTTCACTATGCTCCTTCCCATGTAAAGTGATACGTTGTTCTGGACTTCCCAACGTCACCTACTGTCCATCTTATTAGACCCTTTTATCAGACCTAGACTGAATGAGTCATTGGTTGCTGACGCAGTTGCTAACCAACTGATGGTCCATCCTGATAACAAACCAGTCATCGTCTGAAAGGTAAAACAGGTCTATGACCATCAAACCATGCCTAATGTCCCTCTACTCTACTGACTCATAGTGCTTTGATCTCTATCAGTAGCATGCTGACCTGACCTGAAGTCAGTTCTTTGAACTCTATCAGTAGCATGCTGACCTGACCTGAAGTCAGTAATTTGATCTATATCAGTAGCATGATGATATTTTAATAATTGACTCCACAGTCTAAACTGACTTGAGGTCAGTGCTTTGATGTCAAGCAGAATGATGCCATGCATAGGGTCTTACAATAACTGACTCTGAATTAGTGATTATAATGTCTGGGCTGGGGTTCTAAACTGACCTGAAGTCATTGCATAACTGGCAACAGTTCTCAGTGGTTACAGCTGCTGACTCCCACATCCCGACCCCTAACCCCTGACCTCTTACTCACCCTCATGAAGGCCTGGTGGGGGACGCAGGTCAGCTGGTCATGTCTGATCTTGACCCGCCCTGTTGTAGCGTTGGACGTCCCGTTTCCGTGGAAATGGAAACGCGAGGGGAAGGACTCCTTGTGGTGCGTGTCTGCTGTCAGATTATACTGGAGCTCTATGGGAGAGAGTGAGTGAAGGAGATGGAGGGAGGGAGGGAGGGAGGGAGGGAGGGAGGGAGGGAGGGAGGGAGGGAGGGAGGGAGGGAGGGAGGGTGGAAAGAAGGGTGAGGGAGAGAGAGCATGAGGTTTTTGTTTCAGAGAGCATCCAGTGTTCACATGAACCAGGGCCCAAGACATACAAACCTACAGTAGGCCCGGCCTCAACCCCAGACTCAGCCTCAACCCCAGACATACAGACCTAGACCCAGACTCAACCCCAGACCCAGCCTCACCCCAGACATACAAACCTAGACCCAGCCTCAACCCCAGACCCAGCCTCAACCCCAGACATACAGACCTAGACCCAGTCTCAACCCCAGACCCAGCCTCACCCCACACATACAGTCCTAGACCCCGCCTCAACCCCAGACCCAGCCTCAACCCCAGACATACAGACCTAGACCCAGCCTCAACCCCAGACCCAGTCTCACCCCAGACATACAGACCTAGACCCAGCCTCAACCCCAGACATACAGACCTAGACCCAGCCTCAACCCCAGACCCAGCCTCACCCCAGACATACAGACCTAGACCCAGCCTCAACCCCAGACATACAGACCTAGACCCAGCCTCAACCCCAGACATACAGACCTAGACCCAGGCTCAACCCCAGACCCAGCCTCACCCCAGACATACAGACCTAGACCCCGCCTCAACCCCAGACCCAGCCTCAACCCCAGACATACAGACCTAGACCCAGCCTCAACCCCAGACCCAGTCTCACCCCAGACATACAGACCTAGACCCAGCCTCAACCCCAGACATACAGACCTAGACCCAGCCTCAACCCCAGACCCAGCCTCACCCCAGACATACAGACCTAGACCCAGCCTCAACCCCAGACATACAGACCTAGACCCAGCCTCAACCCCAGACATACAGACCTAGACCCAGCCTCAACCCCAGACCCAGCCTCACCCCAGACATACAGACCTAGACCCAGCCTCAACCCTAGACATACACACCTAGACCCAGACTCAACCCCAGACATACAGACATAGACCCAGCCTCAACCCCAGACATACAGACATAGACCCAGCCTCAACCCCAGACCCAGCCTTACCCCAGACATACAGACCTAGACCCAGCCTCACCCCAGACATACAGACCTAGACCCAGCCTCACCCCAGACATACAGACCTAATCCAAGCCTCAACCGCAGACACACATCAACCCCAGACCCAGACATATAGACCTAGACCCAGCCTCAACCCCAGACCCAGCCTCACCCCAGACATACAGACATAGACCCAGCCTCAACCCCAGACATACAGACATAGACCCAGCCTCAACCCCAGACCCAGCCTCACCCCAGACATACAGACCTAGACCCAGCCTCACCCCAGACATACAGACCTAATCCAAGCCTCAACCGCAGACACACATCAACCCCAGACCCAGACATATAGACCTAGACCCAGCCTCAACCCCAGACCCAGACTCAACCCCAGACTCAACCCCAGTCTCAACCCCAGCCCCAAGCCCAGACATACAGACCTAGACCGAGCCTCAACCCCAGACCCAGACATACAGACCCAGACTCAACCCCAGACCCAGACTCAACCCCAGTCTCAGCCCCAGACACAGCCTTCACCCCAGCCTCAACCCCATTCTCAACCCCAGACTCAGCCCCAGCCTCAACTCCAGACTCAACTCCAGCCTCAACCCCAGGCTCCACCCCAGCGTCAACCCCAGCCCCAGCCCCAGCCCGCAACCAAGCCTCAACCCCAGACCCAGCCTCTTTCTCAGCCCCAGACTCAACCCCAGACCCATTCCTAATCACAAATGTACTGTACAGTCATGGTCAAAAGTTTTGAGAATGACACAAATACTAATTTTCACAAAGTCTGCTGCCTCAGCCCGCAACCAAGCCTCAACCCCAGACCCAGCCTCTTTCTCAGCCCCAGCCCCAGCCTCAACCTCAGACCCATTCCTAATCATAAATGTACTGTACTGTAGATGGAGAAAACATATTTTGAATGAGGATAACATTGACTTGTGTTTTATTTCGCAAGACACTTCAAATTAGTCATTTTCGTTTACTATCAAAGGACAGTGATGTTTCACAGTGATACCAGATAACTTTGAATAACTGAAATCCCACCAAAAACATAATGTTGAGGACAACAGGTGGTTAGAAAACGTGTACCTGATGGACAACATCAGTCTATCTATCAGGACAGGCTCTAACGGACACTTTCACCAGAGGAATGCTCTGCAGAGATAACCGTTGTTAAGGCAGGGTTAACATACTAAACCAACTGACCCATGCCTCAGGGACTAGTGATAAGATGGAGGGACTGACAGTGATAAGGAAACAGAAAAAGTCTGTCTCGGACACAATAGTGTTTTCTGTCAACTAGTCCAGGGCAGGGGCTTTCATGACTATTTCCTGAGAGACACAATATACTAGACTTTGTGCATTATACCATTTTCCACATACAAACTAGTAGTATAATAATGCTCACATTGGAAAATGAGTTTGGAAAATGAGTTTTTGGTCACTATTAAGTACACACACTAGAACCAAAACTGGCTTTTGTTTGTAAGTGCCACTGCACACATAACCTTCACTAATGTAACGATTAACATAATGCAAACAGACAGGTTGATTTCACAGTGCAGGGCTATGAGGGAGCCAGGAGCACGGGGAGAGGGTCTGCTCACCTATTGAAGAGGTAAAGAGTCGAGCATGGACCCTGAAGCAGACTGTAGCATTGATGCAGACAGCAGGAAGACCGTTGTCAGAACACAGCGCTACATAGCGGTTCACACTGACAGGCAGGGGCATGAAGGCTTCTACCACTACCACTGGACGAGTCCTGGCACAGGGAGACAACAACATGTCAACAACAACAACAACAACATTAAAACAACACATTAACACTCAGTGTCAAAGCAAATACAATTGTACATTTGCATTAGAATATGGGAGCTACAGTCTATGGGACAGAAGATAAACAAATCTACAAACCAAAAGGTATTATAAAAGGTAAAAATGGTTGCTCAAAATATACAGGCCAGGCAACTACAGTATACAGGTCAAATAAACGGGCCAGGCCACTTTCACTGAGGTCATATTCAGAAAGTAAATTAATGAAATGTAAGATAAAATGTTCACCAATATTCAGTGAAAGTTTAACCTCTACCTGACATCTCTGACATTAATGCAGTAATTCTAGTTTCAGAGATCAGTTATCTAGTGGATGTGATGTGATATGTACCACAGTTCTTACCTCAGAACCACAGCCGAGTCTGAGAGGAAGGCCCCTACTGCTACATCTGTGGTTTAGAGAGATGCAGATAGATAGTTGTCATTATCTTGAACATGCAATTTCCTGCTATAGGCCTATCTGGCTGCAAGGCTCTCTAGACTTAAAGCTCTAGTACTTGTTAAAGCTCTAAACCAGTTTGTTACTCAGTTTAGAACAGCTCATAAGGTATCAGTGGAATGTTTTTCATTCATTCATTAATTCATTAATTCATTAATTTGTTCATTCGTTCATTCAGTCAGTCAGTCAATCGGTCATTCATTTGTTCATTCAATCAACATCAGCCTGCAGACAAAATGTATTCACCTTTTCACATTTTTACAGTTTACTGCACTGTAAAAAAAAATCCTGTAAACTTTACAGTAATGTACTGTTAAACCAAAGTTTCTTTGGAATTTATGGTAACATACTCTACTTTTTTTCTACAGTAACTTACAGGTAACTGGCTGCCAGTAAGTTACCATATAAACAACAATATTTATTTTACAGTGTGGACGTAGTTAACTGATCTTATTTGGACCATTTGCTATGAATTTGGCCAAAAGATTCACTTCAGATCCCAGAGCAAAGTCACAATCATCAGTAATTTCCTCCCTAATAAAAATCCAATAATCTCCACTCAGCATCTTAGACAGACTTCTAACAAGATAACCAGATATCAACAGTAATAAACTGATGCGTTTTGTTTTTAGATAAGTATTTAACACTTGCGTTACAAATCAATCTATAAAAACAACAATTAAAACAAATAACACATGAAAAAAACAAATGAAATGTTTTATTCACAGACAGCACAGGGGTTAATACTTTACAATGTACCAGTTCTAAGAGATGACTAGCTAAGAGATGACTGACTCTCTCTCTCTCTCTCTCTCTCTCTCTCTGTCAGTCTACATGATATGCTGTTTAGTTTACAGTGTATCACTAGAGGAAGATAAGAAGATGAGAAGCAGAGAGTAAGCAGACAACCATCACTAATTTAAACCCCAGGATATTATCACTGCCCAAGTTGGTTTTCCCTGGGTAGCAGCCAACACACACACACACACACACACACACACACACACACACACACACACACACACACACACACACACACACACACACACACACACACACACACACACACACACACACACACACACACACACACACACACACACACACACATATATATTTACCCATCCCCTGTCCTCAGTTCTCTTCCCACCACCGCCATGTTTTGACGACCTTACTAACTTAAGGCACAGCATGTGTGACATAATAACGGGACATTACAGTGTGTTCTGTTCTAGTCAGCCGTAGAGAAACAGAGACAGACTCAAACATTGTACTGGAGGGAAGCACTGTACACAACGGTGACAGTCAAGAAAGGGATCGTTACCTTGGTAACCGTTTCCATCAACATCGATGCCTCCGGACACAGACTGGCCGAACATCTTTAACTCATTACCCAGAACAGAGCTGGTGATCCTCTGATGATGGAACAAGAACAGCCTGATTATTCTTACAGCTAACAACCCTCTGTACTGTACACATTTCATACACTTCATTTTCTTTCCCAAACCAAGAGAGCTGTCTATGTAAGCTGTACAGTACACATTTCAGGTTTTTCTCTAATACGGAGCTTTGATATGCAAGAAATGTAATGTATCTATATTTGGATATACAGTAACTACATTTTCTCCAAAAGGTTGTATTCCACATTGAGATACATTTATTTACATATATACATTGATTTATCTCCATGGTATTGCATAACTAGAAGGTAATTTAAATGTAACTGCTTAATTTAAACCGTCGCACATGCTCAGACAGAGAAAAATAGGAGGCCAAACAGTTTAAGGAAATCATAGCAATTCAGAGTGAGGAACTCTCTTCCGACTGTCTGAGAGCAAACAGAGAAACAAAGGCACATTTGATCCTCACGTCCTATCTCACTCCCTCCCCCTCCCTCCAATCTATTGTCCCTGATCATTGGTCAGAGGAGGGACACCCTAACCCCTCTTCCCTTCACTCCCTCCCTCCCTTTTTCCCTCCCTCCATCCCTCCTTCTTTCCGTCCAGTAATCTCCTGTCCCTGAAGTCTGCAGACAAACAGCAGCTGGAAGGGATGTAGCTGTAGCTGTGTACATACTTGAGAGAAGGTCTGAGAGATCCCTGTCTTCCTCCCATTGTAGATATATATAGCCCCACGCAGCTCTTCCTCCTGCGGAGCCCCCACTGCCACATCTGGAACACATTTACAGTCAGTCAGGGGTTAATTTAGGATACGTCCCAAATGGCACCATATTCCCTATATAGTGCACTACTTTTGACCAGTGCCCATAGGGTAATGTAGTTAATTAGTGCACTATATAGGAATTAGGGTGCTATTTTGGAGACACATATAGGTTAAGTTACAGGTTTACATGGACATAATGACCTAAATAACAACGTTCTCACAATCAACCATGCAGGCACACCCTCATATCCACCGACTGCTCTCAGACTGCACGTAACCTAAGTCTAGTCTACACTGGGAGCTGGGACAGTGTGTGTGTGTGTGTGTGTGTGTGTGTGTGTGTGTGTGTGTGTGTGTGTGTGTGTGTGTGTGTGTGTGTGTGTGTGTGTGTGTGGGTGCGTGTGTGTGTGTGTGTCAGGGTTGGGGTCTATTCAATTTCAATTCCAGTCAATTCAGAAAGTAAACCAAATTCCAATTCCAGATTTTCCTAACTGAAAAGCATTGAAGAGAATTGGAATTTCAGTGTACTTCCTGAATTGACTGGAATTTAAATGGAATTGACCCCAACCCTGGTGTGTGTGTGTGTGTGTGTGTGCTTGTGCTGATGTTGAGGAACTGGCAGTTAGGCTGGTGTAAGTGGCAGTTAGAAGTGTGCTGGGGCCCTGTGATCAGCTGTAGGGGATGTGGTTGGTTGGTTGGTTGGTTGGTGGTATTGCCTCTGTGTTGACTGGGGCTGGTTTATGGTGTGTGTCTTCGTACCCAGTTACCCAATATCACCACAGACTTCAGTCTAGTTCTTTCTGACTGGCATAGCTCGCTTTCTGTTACTTTTAGAGCTGCCCATTGCTCATAGCCTTGATCAACCATCCTGATCTTGCGAGCTTACATTGAAACGAAATGAGAGCGCAGCGGTCCGGATGGTGGATCAGGCTACATTCCATTCAACTGAAATATGGGGAGATTTTATTGTGCAACAATTGGAACAGCACCTACTTGGAATATCACCAAGTTCAATTTCACTTTATTTGTATTTATTTTTTACAAACAACTATGCAGAACATTGGCATCTTAGCTAGGGTAGCTGATTTTGTCATCATAGTTTTGCTGTACTGTGACACATCATTATAACTTTAAATATAAAGTAAGAATTGCTTTACATCTTTGCAAAACATATGCATAACACTCACCAGGAAAGCCATCATCATCAATATCTCCCAGATCAGTTATGGTCTCCCCAAATCTGGCAGCATACGAGTTGCTTCCCACCAACTGAAACTCTGCTTCCTTCATATTAGCCTTAAAAACACATTCATTTACAGTCTTAAGATTCCTTCTCTCCTCTTCCCAGGGTAATGGCTTGTAAAGTGGATTCAGGGAGAAAAAACTGTTGTTTGCTGATGGAGATATGTGGGGGAAGTAGCTAGCTAAGCTCCATGTAATTGCAGTTATTTAGTCATTAGGTTGGTAATTACGTAAAGTTAGTCATGTCATGCACAGTTGCCTGGTCCTTAGTAGTACGCTATAAAAGTAGCAGATATCCGCTGGTTTAGCGTTCCATAATACAAACTCATCAGTCATAGAAACAGTCCTTAGGTCCTGTTATCATCATGCTGGGTTGTTTTATATCATCTGCCAGTGTATAAGACAGTTCAGTAATATAGTAACTCCAGCCTCTTCTTTTTATAGGAAATGACAATAAAATAAAAATCTCTTTACTTGAGCATATTCATTTCTATAGAATTATCTGATTGTTCTGAAAGCTGAATAGTTAGTGTAGATGTTACTACACAGGTATAAGAGCAACTTAATGTTAAGTGATACCATCTTTGGTTTTGAAAAGGTTTTGTTATAACAGTGCACAACACCAGTATTGTATGAAATGCTTAACTACTATCATATTTAAGAATTACAGAATGAAGTTGTGATGATAACAGTATGTGTGTGAGATGTGAGGTGAGGTGAGGAAGTCTCTTTTGTTGTTGTTCTGTTTTAACAAGTACTGTATCTTCAGGGACAGTGTTCCATATAACAGCCTCGCAAAGTTTATAGTAAACATTTCAATAGGTAATGGACCATCAAATTACTTTAGATTCAAGGCTATTTGCAAAACTCACACAGCTAGAAACACAATAACTGCACAATAACTTTTTTATGATAGGGGTGAAAGAAAGGTTGTATCTCTCTCAATTAGTTTTTCCTCGATTCTTTGCATCCTCTCTCCTCACCTCCTTCTCAAGCCACATTGGAGGAGAGGATCCAAGGTCCCTCCCCCCTGACCTTCTCCTCCAATGAGTTTTGAGAAGGCAAGAAGAGGAATCAGGGAAATCAAGGTTGTCTGTTGTATACTGTATACTAGATCTGAATGAATGAAATAATCTTATTAAATACTTTTTTCTTTACATAGTTGAATGTGCTGACAACAAAATCACACAAAAATGATCAATGGAAATCAAATGTATCAACCCATGGAGGTCTGGATTTGGAGTCACCCTCAAAATTAAAGTGGAAAACCACACTACAGGCTGATCCAACTTTGATGTAATGTCCTTAAAACAAGTCAAAATGAGGCTCAGTAGTGTGTGTGGCATCCACGTGCCTGTATGACCTCCCTACAACGCCTGGGCATGCTCCTGATGAGGTGGCGGATGGTCTCCTGAGGGATCTCCTCCCAGACCTGGACTAAAGCATCCGCCAACTCCTGGACAGTCTGTGGTGCAACGTGGCGTTGGTGGATGGAGCGAGACATGATGTCCCAGATGTGCTCAATTGGATTCAGGTCTGGGGAACGGGCGGGCCAGTCCATAGCATCAATGCCTTCCTCTTGCAGGAACTGCTGACACACTCCAGCCACATGAGGTCTAGCATTGTCTTGCATTAGGAGGAACCCAGGGCCAACCGCACCAGCATATGGTCTCACAAGGGGTCTGAGGATCTCATCTCGGTACCTAATGGCAGTCAGGCTACCTCTGGCGAGCACATGGAGGGCTGTGCGGCCCCCCAAAGAAATGCCACCCCACACCATGACTGACCCACCGCCAAACCGGTCATGCTGGAGGATGTTGCAGGCAGCAGAACGTTCTCCACGGCATCTCCAGACTCTGTCACGTCTGTCACGTGCTCAGTGTGAAGAGCACAGGGCGCCAGTGGCGAATTTGCCAATCTCGGTGTTCTCTGGCAAATGCCAAACGTCCTGCACGGTGTTGGGCTGTAAGCACAACCCCCACCTGTGGACGTCGGGCCCTCATACCACCCTCATGGAGTCTGTTTCTGACCGTTTGAGCAGACACATGCACATTTGTGGCCTGCTGGAGGTCATTTTGCAGGGCTCTGGCAGTGCTCCTCCTGCTCCTCCTTGCACAAAGGCGGAGGTAGCGGTCCTGCTGCTGGGTTGTTGCCCTCCTACGGCCTCCTCCACATCTCCTGATGTACTGGCCTGTCTCCTGGTAGCGCCTCCATGCTCTGGACACTACGTTGACAGACACAGCAAACCTTCTTGCCACAGCTCGCATTGATGTGCCATCCTGGATGAGCTGCACTACCTGAGCCACTTGTGTGGGTTGTAGACTCTGTCTCATGCTACCACTAGAGTGAAAGCACCGCCAGCATTCAAAAGTGACCAAAACATCAGCCAGGAAGCATAGGAACTGAGAAGTGGTCTGTGGTCACCACCTGCAGAACCACTTCTTTATTGGGGGTGTCTTGCTAATTGCCTATAATTTCCACCTGTTGTCTATTCCATTTGCACAACAGCATGTGAAATGTATTGTCAATCAGTGTTGCTTCCTAAGTGGACAGTTTGATTTCACAGAAGTGTGATTGACTTGGAGTTACATTGTGTTGTTTAAGTGTTCTCTTTATTTTTTTGAGCAGTGTATAAAGTTGTATTGAATTGAAGGAAAAATTAATTGGGAAAGATCCCAGTACTTACGGCTCCTTGGTTGATGTAGACATGGACTTGTCCTTCCTCTCTCACGGTGCTGTACATGGGAGATCCTACCAGTAGATCAGACAGGCCATCTCCATTCAGGTCCACGGCACACACACTGGCACCAAAATACGAGCCCAGCTACAGTATAGGAAAACAGGTTTTAAGTCAATACAGTCAATCAAATCAATCAAATGTATTTATGAAGCCCTTTTAACATCAGCAGTTGTCACAAAGTGATTTTGCAGTAAGGAGGTATGATCTAGTTCTGCATCAAAATCAAGACATTAATGGCCGGTTTCCCAGACACAGATTATACCCAGTCCTAGACTAAAGAGCATGTTCAATGGAGATTCTTAGTCCAAGACTAGGCTTAATCTGTGTCAGGGAAACTGGCTGTAAAGATATCTGGCTACTAATTCCCACCTTGCTGCCCTTGACTTCACTGATTATCTTCAGCATGTTTTCTTCAGCTCTGAATAGGTAGGCCTGGATCAGAGGACAGAAAAGACCTGGTCACATCAGGACTTAAAGCCAACTAAGGATGAATGGTAAAATGCATTCACTACTTAGATTGTATCACAATACCCACACAGACATAATCTGCTTTCTACTGATAAAATATCTCCCATCTGCCATCTTAACATCCCTGTGGGACATGTATTTGGTAAGAACTGGCAACTTTTACAGTCTTCAAAAAAATAAAATAAACGATTCCTCCATAAAATGTGCACAGAATTGCCACAAGACAAAATTATTGGCCACTTTCTGCAGATACATTAATTTACTTGACCTCATGGGCCCTTGTCAAAAGTAGTGAACTTAATAGGGAAAAGAATGCCATTTGGGACACAGTCTGTGGCTGCTAAATTACTTAAATGTAAATTGAATGTATTGACGATAAGATCCTTAAAGCACCTCTGAATAAAAGCCTTCCGACAAGTTTAAAATGTCCTGCATTGCAGGAAAGTTCTCCTGCAACAGGGTGATCAAATTAAGATCGTACATCTGTACCAGTCCAGACCAGCGCAAAACCCATATGTCTTTTTCAGTAGCACATCTTTCATACATTTCACCAGTAGCATGAGGAATGCCCAATGCATCATATATTTAGCATCACCCTGATTGGTGATTCAAACACATACTGTATTCTACTTACCGCCTTTAGCTTGTCCGGTCATAAGAAGCGAACCACATATAAGTGTTGGTTCTGTGCTTTCTTTCTACAGACGGGTGGTGGGGTGATGGGGATAGGATGGGGGAAAAAGGAAAAGCAGGAATTAAATTAACTCTTACTTTACCAGTCTGCCCGTGCTGGGGCGCACCGCCAACGATCTCTGTGGAGTCAGGGTGGAGGAAGTGGCCGGCCCCAACCGAGTAGCCTGGTGAGGAAAAGAAGGATCATAACGTTAGTACAACGCCAGTACAGCATTAGTACAACTTTAATATAACCAAAGAATCAGACTACCAGAGTAGCCTGGCAATGGAAACGTATCACAACGTTAATACAATGTCAAAACAACGTTAGTAAAACCTTAATACAACATTTGTAAACCTTAGTACAACCTTAGCACAACTTTAGTATACCCAACTACACACGTAGAACCAGATGGCACTGGTTGATACAAGAGATAAGAGCAACAAGCCAGACGTAACTGGCATGATGATTTGCAGTAACTACAATTGAGCAAATATTGAGCAACCTCCCCCCTCCCCCACAGACACACACAAAAGCATGCTTCCTCTCTGTATTCCCTTACGTTACACTTCACCAACTCAAAAACAAATGAGTGTCTTTATGACACGTGTGACAACCAGACAAGTCTTCTGATCGTCTCCAACCATATTATTATTAACAGACCCAGGTAACTGCCATAGAGGACAGTGCTGTTGTCATCCACATACGCAGACAGGACCCTGCTGGAGGTGTTGTAGACCAGGACAGACCCAGTCCAGTACGATGTCCCTGGGGCTCCCATTATTATCAAGTCCTGAAGAAAAACAACACAACACATACATCAGAGTATTGATCAGTTTGTGTTTTATGTTTGTGATTTCCCAGCAAACCAAAATTGGTTCTGTGAAAGTTCCCATAACATTTTTTAGGTTGTGGCAAATGTTCATTCTCACAAAAACTATCCAGTTGTGCTGATCATTATACAATGTTTGTATAAAACATTTGCCTGATGTTAAAAGAATGTTCCCAGACCGTTGCTCTCATATTTTGTTGCAGCAGTATGTTCTTAAAATATTACTGGTACATTGTGTTAAAACATTACCTGGAAACCTAATGAGAACGTTTCGGGAATGTCCTGTGGTGGTTGTTACAGATGTTGTGCACAACATTTTAGTGAATGTTAGGAAAACATTCCAAGGATATTTAATTTAAAACATTTTCTGAAGAAAAAAAAACATTTTGTTATCAAAAACATTATTTGAATGTTTTGGGGATGTTATCATCCTAATCTTAGAAGAAAAAAAACGAACTAGAACTTAAAGGGAATCTTAACTAATGTTCTGGGAATGTTCCCAGTTTGATGGGTTATGTGCATTTAAAGTTTGTGACTTGTGTATGTGTATGTGTACATGTACACGTGTTTGTGTATGTGTACAAGTGCATTACCAGCATATACATAAACTTCAGGTTTAAACAGAATATGTAGAGGAACTGATACCTCAGTCAGAAAGTTGGATATTCCTGCTTGGCATGATCCGTAGTCCTCACCAAACTTCCGTTGGTGATCTGCAGAAAGAGGGGCAGATGCATTTTCATTTAGGCAAATAAAGCAAGCTTACTGTCAACAAGCTCTCAGGCTCAGTGCAGGTTGCTTACAGGTGTTAGACATGGCGAGAACTGTTGGCCTCGGTTATTGACTGATTTATGTGATTTATAACCCACATTTTCATTTTTCTGTTGCAAAACATTTTGCTACGATATGCATTAATGAATAAGAAACAGATATCATGTAAATGCAAACCAGTGTACCTTTGTAGCATGGGATGAGTGGTTGAGCCTGTTTGAGGTCAGCCTCGTATCTGTAACAGACACCATGAGGCAGCTTGTTCTGGTTGTCGTTCCTGGAATAGAACACGTTCTTCCAACGATGCCCACATGCCTGTGGAACGAGAAGCAGCACAGATGTTGTTGGAGGAAATGCAACTGTTTGAGAGGAGGAATGTAACAACAATGGAATAGGCTACACACAAAATATGTGAAATAGTGCGAGCACTGTCCAGCAGCTAGTTTCCAAAATAAGGTTAAACGACAACAGACTATAGGCTAAACACAAAACATGTAAATGATGTGGGTCTTCTAACTAGAAACATCAATGTAATAGGGGATCATTTGATATGTCTGGTAGGGTTGCAAAGGATGCTAGTCTTGTTTCTTGTTTAAGACCAGGCACTACAGGCTGAAATGACATTTTTGCATCTACCTATCAATTCTGAGATTTGTTGGTACTTTGGTCAATTACATTACATACATCACATTTTAGTCATTTAGCAGACGCTCTTATCCAGAGCGACTTACAGTTAGTGAGTGCATACATTATTTTTTTCATACTGGCCCCCCATGGGAATTGAACCCACAACCCTGGCATTGCAAACGCCATCCCTGCCGGCCAAACCCTCCCCTACCTTGGACGACGCTGGGCCAATTGTGCGCCGCCCCCATATTAATTAATATGAGTATTTTCAGAAAGTAAAAATAAACAATTTTAAACGTCATGAAAATGTATATTTTATTTTCTCTATCATACTGCCGTCATACATTTTAATTAATTTTAACCACTTTAAAATGGACATACAGTACCAGTCAAAAGTTTGGACACACCTACTCATTCAAGGGTTTTTCTTTATTTTTACTATTTTCTACATTGTAGAATAATAGCGAAGACATCAAAACTATGAAATAACACATATGGAATCATGTAGTAACCAAAACAAGTGTTAAACAAATCAAATAGCCACGCTTTGCCTTGATGACAGCTTTGCACACTCTTGGCATTCTCTCAACCAGCTTCACCTGGAATGCTTTTCCAACAGTCTTGAAGGAGTTCCCACATATGCTGAGCACTTGCTGGCTACTTTTCCTTCACTCTGTGGTCCGACTCATCCCAAACCATCTCAATTGGGTTGAGGTCGGGGGATTGTGGAGGCCAGATAATCTGATGCAGCACTCCATCACTCTCCTTCTTGGTAAAATAGCCCTTACACAGCCTGGAGGTGTGTTGGGTCATTGTCCTGTTGAAAAACAAATGATAGTCCCACTAAGCCCAAACCAGACGGGATGGCGTATCTCTGCAGAATGCTGTGGTAGCCATGCTGGTTAAGTGTGCATTGAATTCTAAATAAATCACAGACGGTGTCACCAACAAAGCACCCCCACACCATACACAAGCGGAGATCATCCGTTCACCCACACTGCTTCTCACAAAGACACGGCGGTTGGAACCAAAAATCTCCAATTTGGACTCCAGACCAAAGGACACATTTCCACCGGTCTAATGTCCATTGCTCGTGTTTCTTGGCCCAAGCAGGTCTCTTATTCTTACTGGTGCCCTTTAGTAGTGGTTTCTTTGCAGCAATTCGACCATGAAGGCCTGATTCACAAAGTCCCCTCTGAACAGTTGATGTTGAGATGTGTCTGTGACTTGAACTCTGTGAAGCATTTATTTGGGCTGCAATTTCTGAGGCTGGTAACTCTAATGAACTTATCCTCTGCAGCAGAGGTAACTCTGGGTCTTCCATTCCTGTGGCGGTCCTCATGAGAGCCAGTTTCATCATAGCGCTTGATGGTTTTTGCGACTGCACTTGAAGAAACTTTCAAAGTTCTTGAAATGTTCCGTATTGACTGACCTTCATGTCTTAAAGTAATGATGGACTGTTGTTTATCTTTGCTTATTTGAGCTGTTCTTGCCATAATATGGACTTGGTCTTTTACCAAATAGGGCCATCTTCTGTATACCCTCCCCTACCTTGTCACAACACAACTGTTTGGCTCAAACGCATTAAGAAGGAAATAAATTCCACAAATTAACTTTTAAGAAGGCACACTTGTTAATTGAAATGCATTCCAGGTGACTACCTCATGAAGCTGGTTGAGAGAATGCAAAGAGTGTGCAAAGCTGTCATCAAGGCAAAGGGTGGCTATTTGAAGAATCTCAAATATATATATATATTTTGATTTGTTTATGGTGATAGGGTCTAAATAGGCGTTTGGCGTTAGTCTAAATTCAGTCTTCAACTGCCATTTCCCGAAAGTTAGACTCTTCCCACACTCCAACTAATTTTTCTCAGCTTCAGAAGCATCTGCATTCACCAAATTGTGTGTGGTTATCCTACATTCAACTGGTAAAAGTGGATTGTGATATGATTAAGGGAAAATAAATACCCTATGAGGGTGTGGTGCCTGGCCTTAAACAAAGTTCACCAATACAAGATGTAACCCATCTCATTATTTGATTTGGGTCTTTGAATGGGCACAAAGACTGTATATCACTGGAATTTACACCAATACTTGACCATCTGAGAATGGATTGTAACATTTGTTTACCTCTACTGGGCCTAATCTACATTCCAATACATGATCATCACTGTAAAGCCCTTTATGACACCTGCTGATGTAAAAAGGGCTTTATAAATACATTTATGACTTAACATACCAATACATGGCCATCACCAGGCTGTCTGGACAGGCTGACTCCGAGCCACTGGTTGTCACTCTCAGAGAAGCAAGTCTTCCCACAACTATCCACACCTGTAGTACAGACACACACACGCAAGCACACACACCAAACGGGGAGAGAGAGAGATAGAGAGAGTGAGATAGAGAGAGTGAGAGAGAGAGAGAGAGAGAGAGAGAGAGATCGAGAGAGAGAGCGAGAGAAGAGACGATAGAGAGAGGAGGAGAGATGAGAGAGAGAGAGGGAGAGAGAGAGAGAGAGAGAGAGAGAGAGAGAGAGAGAGAGAGATTTTGATAAACTCCCATATCTATTGGGTGAAATACCACAGTGTGCCATCACAGCAGCAAGATTTGTGACCTGTTGCCACAAGAAAAGGGCAACCAGTGAAGAACAAACACCATTGTAAATACAATCTATATTTATGTTTATTTATTTTCCCTTTTGTACTTTATCTAGTTGCACATCATTACAACATTGTATATAGACATAATATGACACTTGAAATGTCTTTATTCTTTTGTGAGTGTAATGTTTACTGTTCATTTTTTATTGTTTATTTCACTTTTGTTTATTATCTATTTCACTTGCTTTGGCAATGTAAACATATGTTTCCCATGCCAATAAAGCCCCTTAAATTGAAATTTAATTGAGAGAGAGAGAGAGAGAGAGAGAGAGAGAGAGAGAGAGAGAGAGAGAGAGAGAGAGAGAGAGAGAGAGAATTGAGAGGTGGCAATGACCTTTAATAATGCTATATAAACCCTTTGAAAACAATCTTTGGGGCCTCCATGTTAAAAATGAAGTGGTTCTGGTTATTTGACAAACGTGCTTTCTTATAATCCAATGGAAATGTGTCAATGTCAGTTCACAAATCCCCAAAACCACGTTGGTCAAATAACTTGGAAGCCCCACAAATTGTTTTCTTTGTAAAGTCGAGTTTATATTCAATACATCAATATTACAAACCTGTTGATATTTGCTGACATTCTCTCTTGTCCGAGATGCTGCACTTATAAATTGCTCCTGGTTCTTTAACGGCTGGGTAGGAAGGTGAATTCGCAACTGGAGCTCCGACTAATAACCTATAACAGACAATATGGAAATTATTATCACTAACCTTACAGTTTTATAAACATCAATACCACAGCTGTGGGATATCAACAACAACAAAAATCCTTCACACTGAAAAACTCAAAAGGCAACATGGATACTCTTAATGTGCAGTTTCTGGTGGTTTCTTGTGTCAAAAGGTACTTCTGTTTATAGAATCCCTAATTAACAGTTTTCACACATTTTGGGGATGAATACCCACTTTGTTAATTCATCAACAACTAATAGCCTAAATGTGTGTAGCCTATTCAGTTATAGTGTTCTATGAATAAAGTGTTTTTTTTTAAAGCCTACAACCATGTTTGAATCACTTACCATGTGTTTTTCTTGTTCTTGTGTAACAATACAGAATATCCAAATAAAGATCCATTTGGTCCACTGAAACTAATGGGGTGGTCTACGTCCAAATTGTAACAGTCAGTGAGACTACAGCAACAGAAGTATGAGAGAAGAAAGCTCCAACAGCAAGAAAGATTCCCCGGCTTCTTTCGCTCCATTTTTGTAAAACAAATACCACCTTTTCTAACACGAAGAGCTTACAAGTAATGGCAGATGAAAACAAAATAAAATAAAAACGTCGTTGATTCAAATCCAGGGAAACAGAGAAAAGTCGTACATCGCAACACAAACTTTAGAATGGCAGTTGGATAGAGTTGAATAGAGATTGGGCGCGCTCAACTCCTATTGCGCTTCTTCATGCGTCGGTCGTTCTGCCTGTGCGCGACCTCACATCATCAGGCTCATGGCTAAATTCTGTCACGTGAAACTTCAAAAAGTGAGTTAAACCTCTGGCGGGCAGCGTGCATGCTGCTCCCCAAACTCATCAAACTTATAGCCCAACCCTCCAACCCTCCAACCCACCCTGAAACCTTCTATCCACACCATTAAAACTGAGAGAGATATGTGTCCACTGGATTTAACAGTACAACCCTTGAGTGAGAAGTTTTTTAAGTTTCAGAATGGAGAACAGTAGGCCTACAGCAAATCGCTTACCTGTTGTATCCTGTGCAGGTGACAAATACATTTTGATTTGAATCAAAGCCACACACAGACAGTGCCTTCAGAAAGTACGGTATTCATACACCTTGACTTATTCCACATTTCGTCGTGTTACAGCCTTAATAATGACAAAGTGAAAACATGTTTTTTTGCTCATTATTCTTAAAATAATTCTTCCAGTTCTGTCAAATTGGTTGTTGATCATTGCCACAAAACCATTTTCAGGTTTTGCCATACATTTTGAAGTAGATTTAAGTCAAAACTGTAACTCGGCCACTCAGGAACATTCACTGTCTTCTCGGTAAGCAACTCCCGTACAGATTTTAGGCTATTGTCCTGCTGAAAGGTCAATTCATCACCCAGTGTCTGGTGGAAAACAGACTGAACCAGGTTTTCCTCTAGCTCTATTCAGTTTCATTTTTTTTCTACAAATCTCCCCAGTCCTTAACGATTACAAGCATACCCATAACATGATGCAGCCACCACTATGCTTGAAAATATGGAGAGTGGTACTCAGTAATTTGTTGTATTGGATTTTCTCCAAACATACTCTAACACTTTATATTCAGGCCAAAAAGTTAATTGCTTTGCCAAATTTTTTTTGCAGTATTAGTTTAGTGCCTTGTTGTAAACAGGATGCATGTTTTGGAATATTTATATTCTGTACAGGCTTCCTTCTTTTCACTCTGTCAATTAGGTTAGTATTGTGGAGTAACTACACTGTTTTCTTCTTTCACTGCGATTAAACTCTGTAACTGTTTTAAACAGTGGTGTGAAGTACTTAAGTAAAAATACTTGAAAGTACTACTTCAGTAGTTTTTTTGTGTATCTGTACTTTACTTCACTATTTATATTTTTAACAACTTTTACTTTTACTTCACAATATTCCTAAAGAAAATGATGTACTTTTTACTCCATACATTTTCCCTGACACCCAAAAGTACTCTTTACATTTTGAATGCTTAGCAGGACAGGAAAATTGTCTAATTCACACACTTATCAAGAGATCATCCCTGGTCATCCCTACTGCCTATGATCTGGCGGACTCACTAAACACATGCTTCGTTTGTAAATTATGTCTGAGTGTTGGAGCATGCCCCTGGCTTCCAGTAAATAAAATAAAAAACAAGAAAATTATGCCGTCTGGTTTGCTTAATATAAGGAATTACGAATTATTTATACTTTTACTTTTGATACTTAAGTATATTTTAGCAATTACATTTACTTTTGATACTTAAGTATATTTAAAACCAAATACTTTTAGACTTTTACTCAAGTAGTATTTTACTGGGTGACTTTCACTTTTACTTGAGTCATTGTTTTATGAAGGTATCTTTACTTTTATTCTGGCGACTGAGTTAGGAAGGACACCTGTATCTTTGTAGTGACTGGGTGTATTGATACACCATCCAAAGTGTAATTAATAACTTCACTATGCTCAAAGGGGTATTCAATATTGATGTATTTTTATTTGTACCCATCTACCAATAGGTCCCTTTCTTTGCGAGGCATTGGAAAACCTCCCTGGTCTTTGTGGTTGAATCTGTTTTGGAAATTCACTGCTCGACTGAAGGACCTTACAGTGTGGGGTACAGAGATGAGGTAGTCATTCAAAAATAATTGTAAACACTATTATTGCACACAGAGTGAGTCCATGCAACTTATTATGTAACTTGTTAAGCATATTTGTACTCCTGAACTTATTTAGGCCTGCCATAACAAAGGGGTTGAATACATAATTCCACAATTTAAACCATTTAAAATCCAGGCTGTAACACAACAAAATGTGGAAAAGGTCAAGGGGTGTGAATACTTTCTGAAGGCACTATAGATGCTGCTAAAATTGATTGTTTGCTATGTGGCAGCACTGGCTGGTCTACTATACATTTACGCCAATATAATGCTAAATTCGCTTTTTGTAATAGGTGAAGGAATAGAAAAAGTAACTTATACAAAACATATAAATGTTTTATCTTACTAACAATAAAGTTCTTTCAAAACAAATGGAATTAGTCTATTGATATGTTATTTTAAAGAGCAAATTAATATGGACTATGATTGAGTGTCAGTGTCTGAGGGAAACTGGGAATGTTATCCTACAGGGCAAGACCAGGGGGAATGTCTGTCTGGTCTGTCAACAGTATTTTCCCAAATTGGTCAGTTCTTAACGTGATGTGAATTTAAGTTAATGACCTGCTGTGTAATTTGGGAGGAATTTAGCATCTGTCAGGAATTGTGTCTGTGTGTGTATGTGTGTGTGTGTTTGCGTGTGTGTGCATACCGTAGGGCTGTGGCGGTCATGACATTCTGTCAGCCGGTTATTGTCATGCAAAAGACTGCGGGTCTCACAGTAATTGACCGTTAATTAACATAAACTTGTTTAGCATCTCCATACGTGCACATGCATGTGTGTGTGTGTGTGTGTGCATGCATGCGTGTGTGTTTGTGTGTTTTTTGTGTGCTAATAATCTACTGCACCCAACCAGTGATATTATTCCCACTGTGTCAATAAACCATGCAGAGCCAGTGCTGGTCTTGCCAATGGTCTGCTGGGCTAATTGCCTGCTCAGTTATTTTTGGTGGAGGGCTGGATGGGAGTTTGGGCAAAGTCCACTTGGTTTAATAGTAGGTTGGTTGGCTTAACAGTAGGTCAGTTGGCTTAACAGTAGGTCAGTTGGCTTAACAGTAGGTTGTTTGGTTTAACAAATAGGTCGGTTGGCTTAACAGAAGGTTGGTTGGCTTAACAGTAGGTCAGTTGACTTAACAGTAGGTCGGTTGGCTTAACAGTAGGTTGGTTGATTTAACAGTAGGTCGGTTGCTTAACAGTAGGTCGGTTGGTTTAACAAATAGGTTGGTTGGCTTAACAGAAGGTTGGTTGGCTTAACAGTAGGTCAGTTGACTTAACAGTAGGTCAGTTGACTTAACAGTAGGTCGGTTGGTTTAACAATAGGTTGGTTGGTTTAACAGTAGGTCGGTTGGTTTAACAGTAGGTCGGTTTGCTTAACAGTAGGTTGGTTGGTTTAACAGTAGGTCGGTTGTCTTAACAGTAAGTTGGTTGGTTTAACAGTAGGTCGGTTTGCTTAACAGTTGGTCGGTTGGCATAACAGTGGGTCAGTTGACTTAACAGTAGGTCGGTTGACTTAACAGTAGGTCGGTTGGCTTAACAGTAGGTTGGTTGATTTAACAAATAGGTAGGTTGGCTTAACAGAAGGTTGGTTGGCATAATAGTAGGTCAGTTGGCCTAACAGTAGGTTGGTGGTTGAAACAATTTTTTTGTGAGAGAGTCCACACACAGCATAGAAAATATTTGGTGTGCTAATTAGGCTTGTAATGTGGTGTTATACCAGTGGAGGCTGCTGAGAGAACGGCTCATAATAATGGCTGGAACAGAGCGAATGGAATGGCATAAAAAAAATGGAAACCGTGTTTGATGTATTTGATACCATTCCACTGATTCTGCTCCAGCCGTTACCACGAGCCCGTCCTCCCCAATTAAGGTGCCAGCAACCTCCTGTGTGTTATACCTATGGAAGTAAAGGAAAATAGCATATAAAGGACAGAGAAGGAAAGAGAAATGAAAGAGACAGGTCTAAATGTCCAAATTAATATAATGGAACTTCATTAGTCTGATTGCCTTAACTGACAATGAATCAGCGTTTTCTAACTCTGCACTGCACTAACAGTTTGATTTCAACCAACTTTTTCTCTCACATATGACATCTCTAAGAACAGCGAATGCATGCCAGCAGTCATAACATAACATGTAATAAAGCAGTTCTCTCTCTTTTCAAAGACTTACTTAACATTTCACATTCATGACTGTCTTTCAGCTCAACTCACATGTCCTTATTTGGTGTGTGAATGGAATGCCTTCTGCCACTGATTCAGACAGATTCCAGCTGGAGTAATGATGCTAGCTGTTCAATGACAATATGAGCCAGTATTACTCAGCTAAAATTATGAAAGACATTTCTCAATTTAAACATCTAGAATTAATGTGAGATTCCTCACTCTTAATGGCCCTCTCTCTCTCTCTCTCTCTCTCTCTCTCTCTCTCTCTCTCTCTCTCTCTCTCTCTCTATCTCTGTTTATATTTGTGTATGTGTGTGATGACTGCATGTTTTTCTCCATCCCTTATCCTCATCCCCATTAGTTAATATTCTCTGAATATTCTCTGTTTAAGGAGTACAGTTGAAGTCATAAACTAAACAAAAGCCTTACTACATCTCTCTGTCCGCAGTATTGGGCAAACTTTCCTTCAGGACTCCTCTTTAGCTCTGTTGAGGAAATGTCATCATGTAAACAAACAAAGACCCCAATGTATAGTTTCTCTAGTCAAAGGTAATTGAGTTGATTTCTGGAAACTAATCGTGGGGTATGTCAAGTGAGGGACATCTTTAGTTAGGCAATTGAACAAACACTAAACTGAGTTCACTTGTGCCCAGCCCAGGGATGAGCTAATGCTTTGTGGATGGAGCTTATTCTAGTGGGGCTGAAT